TAATTTTCCTTCTTTACTACCTCTCTCCAGAAGCGCAGATTATCTATTTACAACACAGTGGCATTGCCACGCACTGCCACAGTTGTTAAAAAAACAGCATGGAGCCCCCTCCCGAATTCATACCAGACCTTTTAGGTCTGGTAGGAATTTCCGGGGGGACCTCATTGCCAAAAAAAAGCATGGGCCCCCCCTAAAATCCCTTCCCAGACCTTTTGATCCAGGTAGCAGCCTGGCAGGGCAGGAAAGGGGAAGGGACAAATGTGTGCCCCTTCCTGCACCATACCAGCCCACATGCCCTCAACATGAGGACCCCCTGGCAAAGCACTTTGTCCCCATGTTGATCACGACAAGGGCCTCTTCCCCACAACCAGAGGCCAGGGTTGTGGGAAAGAGGCCTGCGGGCAGGGGGACTTATAGGAATCTGGGTGCCCTCCTTCATAAGCAAAACAGTAAGTCACCAGCACTCCAAAGGTTCTCCAAGCAAAGTTTCTTTTATTCCATGTGTAAAGTTACATCACCAAGTGTAGCAACATTTCGGAACACATTCAGTTCCCTCATCAGGTAAAACAAAGATCCCAACCCTTCTCATGAATGAGTAAGGGGTATCAAGTATTTCATTTAAAAAAAACAAAAATGTCCATTGATGTAATCTCGGGGTCACTCAAGTCGTCCAGCGTTGTAGATCCATGTTAACCTCCCTGGCGGTATTCCCGAGTCTGGCTCGGGGTGAATTTTCCATACCAGGAGCTGTAAGCTGAGCTGAGTTTTGCTTGAAAAACAATGTACCGCTTTTGGTACCTAAAATCCTGAATAATCATACCGCCAGGGAGGTTAATCGCGATGGACGACAGCTGCCTACTCGCCAAAAAATAAATACCCAACACCCACCAACACATCCAACCCAGATGAACACCAGCCACAAAATGACAGCTCTGCTCCCGAATGTCAACAAGGGGTGAAGCGAGATGTCACAGTATTTGCATACATTTTGTGACAGCTCCCAGTCCCCTAATGGAATGTAAACAAATGGGTGGAACAAGTCACATGATGTCACAACTCGCTCCACCTCTTTGTTTACATTCAGGGGCTGAGGTGTCATTTTGCGGCCGGTGTTTGTCATATTCGGACTTGTCGGCGGGCAGCGGGTATTTTTTATTTTGATGAGTCGGTGGTGGCTGTCAAGCAGCAGATCACAGCAGAGCAGCACCCTGGATTTATGGGGTGGGTTAGTATGTAAATTCAGGATGAAAGGTAAGTAAAGCTTACCCATTGGATAAGCAAGCCTTATGTTCTTTACTTAAAAACAAACAAGATTTGCTGATGTTATTAGTGGTCATGTGACCATTTGGTCTCCCTTTCTTTCCCCAGATCCTAAGGCTGGGGTAGAGTCTTAAAACAAGATTGTGGAGACTCTGCTGCTCTGTACTAGAAACCTGGCTTTATTGACAGTGATACGCCTTACAGAAGCCACTGTCACTCTTCAGCTAGGAAGGGAGGCATGTTTTGCCTATATTATCACAGGCAGACTATTAGTACATGAGTTTGAATAAAGACATAAGTCCATCAAGTCCAACCTATTGCTGATGTGTGCGTATGTATAGGTCCATTTTCATGTATCATCTCCCGCTCCCGGCCGCCCAGGAGAGAAACACTGCTTTTTATTTTTATTTTTCTTTATTCTGACACGGAGCCGTGTCAGAATAGAAAAAAAATTTGCCCATAGGAATGCATTGCTATATTCCTATTGGCTATTTCAATTTGCACTAGCCAATAGTAAACTAGTATTGTACCCGCCCTCTGCTGAAGGACCTGATGGAGAACTGCAGCAGAGAGCGGGTACAATGCTAGTTTACTATTGGCTATTGCAAATTGAAATAGCCAATAGGAATCTAGCAATGCTTTTCAATGGGAAAATGTCTTCTTTTTTTTTTCTATTCTGACATCGCTTGTGTCAGAATAAAGAAAAAAAAGACACAGCAGTGTTTCTCTCCTTGGCGGACGGGAGTGGGAGGCTCCCAGAGCGCCCGGGAGAGTTTTTGTTTTTTTTGTTTGTTTTTTACAGCAGCAGAGCCGCCGGACAATAGGAAACAACTATTATTGTACCCGCCCTCTGCTGACGGACCTGATGGAGAACTGCAGCAGAGGGCGGGAACAATGCTAGTTTACTATTGGCTATTGCAAATTGAAATAGCCAATAGGAATCTAGCAATGCATTCCTATGGGCAAAAATTATTTAATTTTTTTTTCTATTCTGACACGGCTCCGTGTCAGAATAAAAAAAAAAGAAAAAGCAGTGTTTCTTTCCTGGGCGGCCGGGAGCGGGAGACTCAAGGAGCGCCCGGGAGAGTTTGCTGTCTGGAGATCAGTGTCCCTGGTTAGCTTATAACCAGGGACGCTGATCTCTCTGCAAGTGGCCGGAGCCAGCCATAAAATCTCGGCTGGCTCCGCCCAGCTGTCAGGAGCAGGCTGTCGGCGCGGCTCAGCCGAGCCGAGGCATATGCCTTTGGCTCGACTGAGCTTCTCGGCTAAGTTCGGGAGCTGTACGGGCTATTGTGAATAGCCCGTACAGCAGCCCTTCGGTTCTACTGAACCGAAGGGGTCCTCGGGCCGAAGCTAGCCGAAGGATCGGCCGAAGCTACGGCTAGATCCTTCGGCTGCTTCATGAATAGACCCCTATGTTTTTTAAGGACAAGGCAGTGGACAAAGTAAGAGGGAAAAAAGGAGGGAGTGAAGTTCTTCTTAATATATTCAAAGAGTCATTGTAACAGACAAATATGACTTCATTGCTAACAAACATAAAAATCAATTTTTGTATACCTACTAATTACAAATATTTTAAATCTAAGTATATTATATTTTCATAATTCACAAATCAAGTAAATGTTAATTGGCATTCACTACCTCCAATCTAAAACCACCCCTAATAAAACATGATAATTGATATAGTTACTGAAAAAGAAATATAGTTACATAAAGAAATGCACAAGAATTGTCCAGTTCATCTGAAATTGTGTTGCAGAGTTGAATCTGTGTTACTACCAATATTTAGCCTTTTTGGCAGTGCACATGTAATTGTGAATGCACTCAGTACTCCTCAGTCACCTCTACTGAGAGTGCTAGATGATCATGTGTTGCTTTGGATCACAATGATTGTCCACTATGACCATATGCTGTCATCTAACAATCACAGTAAAAGTCGGTAAGGGAGGTTGGAATAACCAATTGTTTAAATCCAGGTTGCAGGCAATTTGCAGTTAGTTCCACATGATTGAAAATTGCATCAGTATTCCATCAGAGCATAAACATTTATATCAGGGAATTGTTTCATTATGCGTTCTCTTGGTAGTTCAGAATGCAAAGTCCTAATTAGTTTCAATAATGCATGCTTAATTTCTATGACACACATATAAACATGTTAAATTTTAAAGCATATTCTTCTGCCACACAGTGGACAAACCAAACATTTCTTGTAAATCTGCTAAGGAGAATATCTTAAAGTTACTGTCCTTTTCTGATCTGCTTCTGCCATCAAGTGGTGTTTCCAAGAAAAACTTCTAAAAATGATACTTTCACCAAACCATGTAGACAAAATGCATGTAAAGAAAATATTTACTGACACTTGGTTTAGAGAAAACATGTCAAGTTTATTTTGTAGATTACATTAAAACCTAAATTTGCAGCTTAGCTTTGATGGCAAGCATCTTTAAATCTGCGTGAATACTTTATATTCTTACAAGGGACAAAAACAAAGGTTGGGAAACTTAGTGATTTTAAAGTCAAAAGATGTGCTAAAATATAACAGTGAAACATTCAAAAGGTTTGCTTACAGGCATTTTAAATGGTGAACAACATATACATACTGAGATGTCATAAAGGGTCCCATATAAAAAAAACAAGTGAGGATGATGAGAGGATGATAGCCCATAGTTTCCAGTGGTGTATCATCTGCCATATTTCTGGAGCAGGTAAGGCTAGTCAATCACAATGCAATAATTATGTGATACAGTCAGATTTGGCACTGCTTGAAAAATCTCTTAGTGTACAGGCTACAGTTTTAGCAAAAGTCATGTTCTCCTGCTTTCGAAAACTTCATGCAAATAATCTTCTAATGTTTCCTTTTACATAGGGTATGGAAACAAATCTGCATTTACAGAACGCAACTTTAATATGATTTTGAAGCCACACACATAAATGTATTTGGTGATCACTTAAGGGTCTGTTCATTAATTGCGCAGTTCCATGCGATTAATGCACGGTGCCACACAATGCACCTACCATGCGATTACAGTGCCCGCAGTGTGATTGTGAGTTGCAGCGCGGTGCAGTGCGACTGAAAAATATGAACATGTTTGGCAAGCTACCGATAACATCTGACCTTCTGTAGCCACAATTTAGAAACCATGCTTTGGCTGCCTGTTTATAGACAAAACCTTTTCCTTCCCATTCATACACTTTTATATAAAAGGCCAAGAGTTATTATTGGACATCATTGTTAAAATAAACTTCCTGGGCTTTTGAGTTTAAAAAAAACTTTTATTTGCAATCAGGTTTAATTGGTCTCATAGGTAACCAAAACAGTTACATAAATTATCATTTTTATTGACCAGTTCCCAAATGCAAACTCCAACCTCATACCAACATACAAATAAAAGAGAATAGAACTTCTTATAATAAGGATTTTTTATAATGGCCAAAATTACCCATACATTTTTTATTATTTCTTGTGTCATGGGTATAAATGGTGTCTGTTCTTTATATTTGAAAACATTTTTTAAAATAAATTACTTCAAGTGATAAATCATGTAAGATCTTCTATGCACAGCAGGTCATTTCTTTTAATTGTATCACAATTATTAGCCTTTTAAACAAGTAGGGTCACATACTTACAAACTTAACATGTAACACATGATTTGAAGATGAAATAAACAGCATGAGAAGTATATTTGTGAAACCTCTTTGGTGAGTCAACATTAAAAGTCCATCCAATGGTGGTGTGCTATTTATGATTCTAAGTCTTTTGTATGGTCAGTTGTAGGGTCAGGAGCTCCACAGCCAGTGGTTTTACACGGTCCTGGTAGTCCTCTTAGTCCTGTATATCCTCTCTGTCCAAGCTGTCCTCTGTGCCCACGAGGACCCATCAAACCTGGTTCTCCATCAAATGCTAGCCCTGGTATACCCCTTTCACCTGGAAAACATTTTTGAAACAAAATAAAGACCTGACAAAACTGTTCTTTTTTTAATCTGAGTGTTGAATTTGGTATTTTATATTTAAGGCTGTACAAGGAACATCTAAACAGAATATGGTTTAAAAGCTATTAGACAAAGCCACAAAACTTGGACACACAAAGCTACTATCAGCCAATGGCAAATACTTCAAGGAAATTAAAGAAAAAACATCTCTATAAAATGCAGTGAAACAAATTGAATTCTGAAAGAGTACAATACTGAGCAAAAACAATATCTACATAATATCAATATACACAGCTAGAACACAGGCATGGGGCATTTCACTACTTACCTCTTGGCCCTGGGTCACCAACAAATCCAACAAGTCCATATCCCCTTGGACCTTTGTCTCCATTTTCCCCAAGTTCACCTGCAACACAAGAGATCTTAAGGTCTGCTAATCTTTTTTATAGTCTTTTCTTCAATGTAGAAATAGATAATAACAGTGGCTTAGTTGGTGTGATTATATAAATAAAAATATTCTAAGGCATATTATTTCTATAAATGTATTCCTATAACAAACATGGTCTAAATTTTGAAGAAAATACCTTTTTGTCCTTGTTTCCCTGGATCTCCTTGCTCCCCATAAAATCCTTCTGCACCATCTTCACCATCTAGACCTTTAATTCCAGGTGTACCCTTAATAGTGTTTTAAAAGAAAAAAAAAAAGAAATAATTTATTAATTTATATCCTATAATGCAAATGTATAAAACACATTTTTGTAAATGTTTGCCTTTTTAGCTAAGCTGAGTTGGGTTATGCAACTTTCCCAAAGGTTTGACACATGAAATGGGATTCCCTTACACTTTTCAATATATGTTTAATGCTCATTCCAGCACTAATAGTCAGGGACTATAGCTGGAGAGTGTAGCTTCTCCTATAGCAGCCCCCGTTCCCTTAAGGCAAGTAGGTCTACAGGTACTTGGTTACCCCCAGGACTTGTTACGCAGTGCTATAGTTCGTGGACAAAACAGCACTAGAAGCAGACAAAAGAAAAACTAAAGGGACATTTATGGTAGTCAGGGGTGTCGGATGACCACAGTGGAAGACAGGAGCTGACAGAGTAGCATGATCCAGAGACATGCAGAGCCAAGGCAGGAGGCAGTCCATAACATAAACCAGGGACAGGTACAGGTTGAGGTAGGCAAAAGACTGTGAGTATCGTCCAGGGACAGGCTGAGGTTAGAGCAGACATTAGACAAAGGAGTATTCTAGGGACAGGCTGAGGTCAGGGCTAAAATCAAGTCAACAAGTATTACAATACAGACCTAGTAAAGTAGAATTATCACAAGCCCACAGTCCTGTAATGTTCAAATAGTGCACCATAGTGCCGCCTGCCAATCAGGGCAGAGGCCGACCAACTGCCTAGCAATGAGGGCATCTACTGCCACTGCCTAGAGAGAAAGAGAAGGGAGTGTTGCTGCCAGGGCTGGACCTGTTGCCAAGCAACCAACACCTTAGCTGGAGAAGGAAGAATGGCAAAGCAGCAGCTGCAGGGACAGAGACAGACAGGCAGCTTAAGAATATGACACATGCTTCTAACATTGCAGCACCTCTGAGGAGTGGCCCCTTGACACTCCAACCACAACTTTACTGGTAGTTTGGAGAGCTCCACAACACCCAAACTTGTCAAAAAGAACCCACCAGGATCAAAAGTGTCATTGAGAGACAAGCCGCTAGGTCATGCAACCATAGTGAAGCCCAAGGGCACCAAAGTCTATATAGGAGAAGAAGGCGCTTGCAAAACACAAGATCTTTACAGAGAGAGCTGTTAAAATCAAAAAAATCCTGTCCACTCAAACAAATTCCCTTTAAGAAGGTAATACACCACCAGATGTGACCAACAACACAGAAGAATGCAGTGGATAGTGAAGACAGGGTAGCATGACTTGGAAACAGACAGGGTAAAGGCAATCTGAAAAAAACAGGGACAAACACACATTGCGGCACGTGGCAGACAGTAAGCATATTCCAGGGACAGGCTGAGGTCAAGGTTAAAATCAAGGTAACAAGTATGAGGATATACAGCCAGTGAAATAGAACTATCACAAGCCCAGAGCCCTCAGCATGTGATGTTCAAATAACAATATGTATAATTTTAGCAGACTCCTAAAGAGATTGACCATCCATCATATCACTATTATCCTGTTCTGATACTCAAATGCATTTTAAAATCTTAATTATTTTTTTTGATTCTTGCTTAACACATCACTCACTTCTTATCTTTATTAGAGTGTTTCAGTAAAAGGTAGAATTTTGTTTCTTCCCTGAAGTGCTGTCCTAAAAATCCCATGCCATGCTAAAGCTAACAATTTTCCATTGAATGGATTATTGTAATGTTACTATTTTAAGTTATCTAGTTTCACAGATAAAGAGCTTGTAAGTAAATACAATTTAAAGTTTTAAGTACCTTGATTACTATAAATACATATTCATCTTTCTAATTGCTTTATTTCTCTGATCTTTAAAGTTGCTATAAATCTGTTTATATGCTTTCATTAATTACTTATGTGAAAGTTATTATCAATATACAAAGTGTTTAGTTGCACTAATGCTTTTGAATTACTCTTCTATCCTGTTTGGTAGGGGACTGAAGAGTAATGGTTGACCATTCCCCCAATAGCACTTGCAGAGTATCGTTGTTCTCCACTGCATTAAAAAGCCAGGAAAAATTGTAGACATCATGTGGTGTAAAACTTGCCTGATGGAAGTACAAAGGGGTTGGTCTGTGCATGATTGGCCTTAGATCGACCTGGCAAATGTTTTCTAATTGCCTTTTGTGTGGCAGGCCTAAAATAGGCACAGAATTGTGTGAGCCACTCTGTGATTAGTATAAGAGTTAGCTGAAGGGAGAGGACAGTTTGGAGAACCTTGTGAGGAATTGAACAGCCATTAAGTAATAAAGATGTAATTTTGGTGATACACTTTTACAGCCTTGTACCTTTCCAAGGCTTTAATATTTTAAGGTGGCCAAGTGAGCAAATCTGGTGTGGAAATGTAATGAAATTCCTTTTGATTGATTCTATTGTTTTCTAGATTGCCAATACCCCAGACTGCTGTGGTTAAAAGCTAAATTGACAACAAATCTGCCAGGTATTGTTTGAACAAGACTTTTGTAAGGTATACAGGGAATCAGCTCAGGAAGTGGACTGCCTGTGTAAAATGAAAAAAGGACAGTGTGATACAACAAAAAAGACAGTATAGAGATTATGAGAATTTAGAAGCAAATTATATAACAATTTATAAAACAAAATTGTGCTTTTCCTTATTTATGATCCACTTACAGGTTCTCCTGGTGGTCCTGGCAACCCTACAGGTCCTGGTGCTCCCATAGGTACTTCACCATACAAAGGACAAACACTTGCACATTGTCTCCGTACAGACTGGGCATATGCAGACATTTGTTCACGAACAAGCTTTTGACAAACCTCAATAACACGAGAAGCAGGAAATGTTGGCCCCTATTGACAGAAAACATTCATTTTAATTGAATACTCAATCTATGGATATCAAAGTACATAGAAACCATTGCAACCTGTTGACCTGTAAGTTCCTTTCATAAACTGCTTAATGTGAATAACAGCTCAAACTGATACTGAGTAGTCATTCTATGTGATACTTATATGTAGATAAGTCAAGCTATAATAAATCGCATTGTTTAGCCATATATTCAGAAAAAAATCACTCCTACTGTCATGGTAAACAACCTGCTTCCCTATTTATAATGGTCTGGCCCTCTAGCAACTTCAGCGCAAAATTATAGCTAATTTGCCTACAAACGTCAGGTGGTCATAATAATCTGGCTACTCAGTGTAATTATGTAATGAGAACGATACTAAAATTGTTATAGCTGATTCCTTCGCCTGCATATGTTACTTTAGTTGACACTAAACTCAGGAGTTAAATCTTAAAAATGCATTCAAGTACCTTAACTATTAACAAAAATGTACCTTATTTTGTGTATCATTTTTTAGATCTTCAGATCATCCCTGAATTTGTGCTGACACTGTCTTTCCTTCTGGAAGGTCCCTGTATGTGTTGTAAAGTAGCCACCACTCCAAGCTCACTCCCTCCTGTGATGGACTACAATCTCATGTTTAGTTTACTAATTTGAATTGAAGTTATAGTCTATCACTGGAGTGAGCTTGGAGCAGTGGCTACTTGACATCATACATAGGGACCATGGGCAACAAAAGTAGCCACCCTCCAGAAGGTAGGACAGTGTCAGCACAAATTCAGAGATGATTTGAGGTTCTACAGCTGAATGCTGCATGAATAAGATACATTTTCTTTAATAGGGTACTTGAATGCATTTTAAAGATTTAACTTCTGAGTTTAGTGTAAATTTTATTGGCTGCTCACCAACGGGCTTATTGTATGTACCTCTACTCAATAAACATATCAAACTAGCCATAAAGGAACATGTAGCCTACGTCCAGGTTATTGTCTCTGTACTCTGTTTGCCCAATCAGGAAATTAAGCCTATTGTGGCACAATGAGTCATTGCACTGGCGTAGCGCTTGGCCGGCTGTTACTTTCTCTCTTCCCCGCTGGGACACAGCACAGAGCAGTGCCCAGCGGGGAGGAAAGAAACCAGAGTTATGGGTGCCCGGGGCAGAAAAACATTTTTGCCCCCCATTATATAAGCATCCAGTGGAACTGTACCCCGCACCCCCCATATGTTTACTATAACTACACTTATGAATGAACAGGAGGAGATGTAGATCACTCCCATTCATTTATAATTGAGGATATAGTCAACATACTATATCCTCAATTATCTACAAACACTGAGTGTGTGTACCCTCTCTCCTCTCTGATACACACAGGAGGCTGAGCCAGCAGAACAGGGAGTAGAGCTCAGCCTCCTGTGACAGCGTGGGCAGTCTCCACCCCCACACCGCTCTGCCGGACTGTGATAGGTGGCTGAGCGGTGTGGGAAGAGAGACACCGGCCGCGTACAGCGCTCTTGTCCCGCAGCGCTTGGCCGGCTGTCACAATCATGGTTGCGCCGACAAAACGCAGGGCAAATGGCACTTTCCACATTTAGCCGAAAGTGCCATTTTCGGCCAGAGCCCCCCTTCAGCTTTGACTAAAGACATGACCTCATCCATGAGACATTATTAATAACCTTCAATGCAGGTATTGTTGCAGCATACTTTTAAATATAAAAATGCTAAGCAAACATAAATTGATATTACATATGCTTTCTAGCAATTTTTTATCCCGACTTATCTTTTAAAGTGTATAAACTGATATCTCTTTGGTACATAAGTACGAGTATTCACTGGCACTGCAAGTTGTCTGCTTTTCCTAGACAAAGACTGGTTTATACACTTCTGTTAGCATTACATGTTCACTTATTACTTAAAACATTTTGGTAGTATTAGTGTTCTGTATGTCTGCTTAAAATCCATATCTTAGCAACGTTTTACCTTTGACCCCATTGGTCCACTCTCTCCTGGAACTCCAGCATCACCTGTGGGACCTTGCTCTCCTCCTTGACCACGAACTCCAACTTCTCCTGGAGGTCCTCTTCTACCAGCAAATCCCTCAGGACCTACTGGGCCATTATCTCCAGCCTAAATACATTGATCCACTGGTTAATAAACAACTCTATACCACTCAACTGCAGAATATAGTCATTTGAATCATACTCACTTTGCCTTTAGGTCCCTTTGTTCCCTTTTCACCCTTTAAAAAATGTAATGGTAGCACTTAATTGAAAAACAGTTTCACAAAGATTGAGTAAAATACTCTTTAAATAATCCTCACGTATATTATTATTGTAAAACTATGAACAGTCTGGTGAGAATGTGTTTTTTTTATTGCAATACATAATTAGATCTAGTTTACTAATTGACATAGTTTCGTATAGTGACACTAAACCCAAGCGTTATATCTTAAAAATGTATTCATGTACCTTATCTAGTAACAAAAATATATTATTGTTCCGTATCACTCAGCTATAGATCCTCAAATCATCTCTGAATTGGTGCCGACACTGTCCTTCCTTCTGGAGGGTGGCTACTTTTGGTCCCTGTGAGTGTTGTAAAGTAGCCACAACTCCAAGTTCACTCCTGTGATGGACAACAATCTCATGTTTAGTTTACTAATTTGTAGTAAGATTTTAGTCCATCACTGGAGCGAGCTTATCACAGGGAGCATGAGGAACAAAAGTAGCCACCCTCTAGAAGGAATGACAGTGTTAGCACCTATTCAGAGATGATTTCGAGGATCTACAGCTGGGTGATATACAAATAAGATACATTTTTGTTAATAATTAAGGTACTTGAATGTATTTTTAAGATTTAACTCCTGAGTTTAGTTTCACTTTAATATACATACTTAACATTGCTGAGAACTCTAGGACTTTCTAAAGGTGCTTTTCTGAAAAAGAGGGAAGAAATTACCTTCTGTCCTTCTGAACCTTTGATTCCTTGAACCCCAGTGCTGCCCTGTAAACAGAACAAGACAAAATAACAGGTAAAACAAATGTGTGTAGAAACCACATTTTAGAATGTAGCAGAGATTTTTACTTGTATGTACTGGAATATTAGAACATACAAGTGCCATAAGAAATATACAGAAGAGTGGGTCATCAAATATATCAGCACACTCTTCACTCAAAGCTTCTACAAAATCCAACAAAATGTATAACTGTCTCTGGAACCCTGCAGTGACCACCATTAGGGCCTGTTCACATGAGATCAGGTCCTGATCAGGTCCTGATCAGGTGCTGATCAGCAGACGTGGAGCTGCTGATGCAGTAAGTTTTTGATGCGTTTTGGATGCGTTTTTGATGCGTTTTCGGTCCGGATGCTGACAGTTCTTTTTTTTTTTTTTAGCCAAGGGGCTGTCAGTATGCAGATTCAGCCTCTGAGGTCTCTGAGGTCACTTTTTCCCTTAGCTTCTTCCTTAGCTGCATTGCGTTGCGTTTCCGTTCCGTTTTCGTTGCGTTTTCGTTGCGTTTCGTGCGCGTTCGTGCGTTTCCGGACCGTTTCCGGACCGGACAAAATGTGACATGCAATATTTTTTCTGTCGTAAGCTGAACGGACTGCGCACGTGAGAACTGTAGCCCATAAAACACATAGGGATACATTGGGATGCATTTTGAGTGCAGCAGCGTACAGAGCCGGTCAGCACACAAAACGGACATCGTGTGAACAGGCCCTTAGAAACAAGGTAATAATTAGGGATGTCCCAATACCATTTTTCAAGACCAAGTACAAGTACTTTTCCTCAGGTGCTCGCCGATACCAATTACGGATACTTTTTCTTAAAGGGACGTGTGACATTTTTTCTAAAACAATACAGACTAATGATTTTTGGGCAGTTTCATTATAATTATGAAGAACTGTAACTCAATCCATAAATATACTTGTCCTGATACAAAAAATAATTTTAACCAAACCTGTGCTAAGAAGTGCTTCTCATTGGTCAGCGCAGTCACCTGACTGCACTGACCAACGAGTACTTGCAATTTGCGAGTGAAATTCAAAATCCATAGCGCAGGGTTCAGTGACAACCACATCCTCCTCTCTTCTCTTCCCTAGTAGGGTCACGGAAAAGATAAAAACCTAAAAGAAATGTTAACTCTTTCAAATTCTATCACAGACTACAAAAAAAAAACAATTTGATTGGAGATGGGCTCTTTTGAACATCAACATTGCTTTAAAAAAAGCTTTGTATAAACCCAGAAGTTGTATGTTGGGTATGTTAATTAAAGTACCTTTGCTCCTGGACCACCAGTAAGTCCTACATGTCCCTGTGAATGAAAAAAAGCTTATGAATGTTTGAATTTTTTAAGTAAATGATGATATATTGTCATCATTTTCAGACGTGAATCCATGAATTAGTCATTACAGTAAAACAAATAAATTTAATATAAATATTAAAAAAATATCAGGATGTTCTAGAGTCTTGCAAAACATGCATTGTAATACCAGGCAACCGTAGGGAGCATAACTACTTGTTAAATGGGTATATATTCTGCTGTCCCTTCTGATGCCTAGTAGGACTTAGAACTAAGAAGTAGGTGTCAGTTCATAGATGACAGCCAATAGTATCTAATCCACCAAGAAAAAGGAAGAAATAAGGGTTAAGTCATGCTCTCAAAATGCATGAGGTACAAAGATTTAGGGTTTTAGCCTAATAAGTTAGACTAATGTGGCCCCTTGGAGGGTTACCGTTGACTGTAAAAATGTACTTTATGATGGGTTTATTATGGAAAGACACTGGAATGTACCACTGATATGTCTGCAACAATTGACATGCAGCATGCAGCTGTGACTGGCAGATGTGACTAAAATACATGTGTGGTTTAAGTGGATATGGTTACATATTGCTTCAGATTCTAAGCCTACATAATTCACTGTACTGAGTCCACAAGAGCTTTGGGTTCAGGTTGAGGTTGTGTTCAAAGTGAACTCAACTAGTTTGTGGTTTGCGGACCCTGTAAACGAATGCGTCCATTGGAGAAGAGTGTGAGTTGATTAGGGAAAGATAGCTGTATTGTTTGGTGTTGTATACAGTGCTATACACAATATATAGATATAGCAGAGATATTTGCTGCTATACAGTGCTATACACAGTGCTGCATTGTACTATGTTTTAGAGGTAGAGATAGTTGTATTGTGCTACATTTTCCAGGTTCAATAAAAACAACAGTACCTTTTAGGACTTCTTTAGATTCTGTGTAGCTGTTACATCAAGTTAGCCAATCCCTAGTATTCACAATGTCAAGCAGGCCTAAAGGGAAATGCAGAGGTTCTGCACATGCAACTGGTTGGTGGTGAGCAGGTACTGCACTGGCAAATGAAAACATTTGCCACTTAGAAAAAAAGTCTGCTGAGGATCCTCTTGGACACATCTCCAGATAGTGTCAGGATCCCTTCTCGCGGCCTGTAGCCCTCAGATGGCTAAAAGGGGGAGCATAAGTGGTGGTTGCTGCCTCCGCAAGGTGTTTACGGTCACCTTTCAAACACAGTGTTCAGGGTTGCCTGCAGGCAGCAGACTACTTGGGGTCCAGGGCCGATGTGTTCACTGTTCAAAGTGAGGGTCCAATGGACTATTGGGTGTCCAGGCTTGACCACTCACCAGAGCTTGCACTGTACACCCTGGAGCCTCTGGATTATCCTGTGTCCAGTGTGGACCTTCAGCACAGCAGGCAGTTTTGTGACAGAAGGACAAATTCACCTGTCCCATGACACTGTGGAACATCTCACTTACATAAAAATGAACCAGTACTGGATCAGCTATGATTAAAAACACCTGCCACTGATGCTACCAACTACATTTTTTCTTGCACTCTGGCCCCTCAAAAAATTGTATCTTACAACATTACCAGCTCCTGCCACTGCTACTGACCTGCCACCATTACCAGCTTCTGCTACTTCTGCTGGCCTGCCACTATTACCAGCTTCTGCTACTTCTGCTGGCCTGCCACCATTACCAGCTCCTGCAACCTCTGTGGGCCTGCCACCATTGCCAGTATCAGGGGCCTAACCTACCCTTTTCCAGTGCTCTGACATTTTAAATGTGCCACACCCATAATGTTACTGCAGCTGTTCCACAGCTGCAAAATCTTGCTGCAGAGGAATTCGTTCTCCTAGTTTGTGTTCTCCTAGTTTGTGGCCTATGTGAGTGCTTTGGTACTCAAAAATATGTTATTTCTCTGAAATAATACACTCTAATAGTTATTTCAAGATAAAAACTTCCTCTCCTCTTCCGTTTACATTGTGGCCTAATCAAGCATCTTACATAGTCTCCTGCAGCTGTCCTTTTTGTTTATTGTCTCTTAAATAATACACTCTAATTTTTATTTCATTATAAATCCTGCCTCATCGCTCCATTTTACTCTGTACTCATACTATTAGATTAGGTACTCATAGGACTAGGCCTTTTTGCTGCATGTGATACAGTGAACCACCTGCCCTTCCTCCAAAAACTTTACTCCCTTGGCCTCCAAGACACTGCTCTTTCCTGGTTCCTCTCCTACCCATCTAAGAAATCCTTCAGTGTCACATAAAATTCTATCTCCTCCAGTCATCCTTCCCTTTGCGTGCTGTGTCTAAAGCTGCTTACACAGTGTGCATAGACTGTAAAATATATCTAGAATCTGTGACATATTACAGTCTAATTTGTATTTATTGATTAAAACTTGTCTCACCTCTGCCTCTCAAATTTCAGCCTAATTAAGCTGCTTACATACTGTGCTTCAACTGTACAATATTTGTGGCTTTTTTCTGTGAAATATTACACTCCTGTTTTTATTTCTTTATTAAAACCTACCTCCTAAATTGTGGCCCAGTAAAGCAGCGTGTGTAGTGAGTCTGTACAATATTCCTGGCTAGTGTATCTAAAATATTACTGTTTGGTTTTTATTTCATTATTAAACCTGTCTGGTCTCTCTCTCTTGAAATAGCAGTAATATTGAGCTGTTTGCATAGCATGCTTCCAGTCTGTACAATATTTTTGTCTATTATCTCTGAAATAATAAACTTTCTTTTTTTTTTTGCATGACAAAAACTGCCTCTTACATTACAGCCTAATCCAGCTGCTTACATGCTCCCAACCACTCTACTATAATGTTGTCTATTGTATCTGAAATAACACACTCTAAATTTTAGAGTGTGGCGTTGTGGGTTTGTTATTTTAAAGTTTATGTGCACCCAGTTTTGTAGTTTTTTTTACATTTTAAAACAACACTGTGTGGTTCTACCTAAAAAAGAGGATCACAAACTATGCTTTGAATAAACTTTCCTATACCTTTTAGATATGTTGTGGCTTCTACTTCCAACATTCAATTCAAGCTTATTACCGGAGCGAAAACTCTCTAAACATTTTTAAGTACATTTTTTTTTTACCTTGAAATGAATCAGATTGGGGTGCTGCTGCTGTATTTAATATAAGCAATTAAGTAAATTTAAAAAAAAAGGGTTTACATATCCACCAAAATACTGTATGTGATGCCAGAATACAGTGTCACTGACGTTGTCTGTGAGAATCGTACTGTTCTCTAATAAAGCTTACTAGCATCTTCCAAGTATGTAATAGAAAGGGATTTTGTTTTCCCCATGTCGCCCATGAAGTTGCATAAAAAGAAGGACCTTCTCCATGCTGTACAGTATCTTTTTAAAATGTTTTTTCTTCTTTGCATTGGAATATGTCCTTCATGTCAGTGCCCAGCTCCCAAGGTCTTTCTTTGACAATATTATTCTTATTAGCCTTGAAAATAGCCATAATTGATTTTTAAATATCACCCCCCACCATAGACTTCAAATCAAACCTAGACACGTTTGTGCAACCCTATCCACAAAACATACACGTATAAGAATAATTACTCTTAAGAGACACTGGGGGCTTATATCTCTGGCTTGATACTGGCTCTGGCTTAATACTGGCTCTGGCTCTGGGGCTTAATACGTCTATACCATGAACTGAGGAGTTACCACCACTTATAATTATATTTAAACCTACTATAGAAAATTACATTTAGAATTAATTTTATTACTGGCTTGGGACAATAAAGGCAGGCCATATATAGGAAAGTTTTATTTAAGAAAAAAAAAATGAAAAAAACAAACACTGCTTTTCCTGTACATAACCTGAAGACCAAGCTCGTAGTACTGGAACCATTACTATAGATGAGGGTGAATCTCACCCTCAGAGTAAGGTGTGCCAGAGATATAGTCAAATACATACTACTTTATTTGCATTATATAAAAGAACAGTAAACAATGTTAACAAATATACAAATACATTTACATTATACTCACATGATAGCTGGAACTATATTGTAATTTCTAGGTCTCTAGTGTTCAAATTCTTCTCGAGCTCATATAACTAAAGCTAGTGCAACTAATCTTTTGTTATATCTGATAATCATATGTTATACGGTATATTTTGTCTGGGTTTAAGTTTTTAAATATCTAAATGGCATGGCACTGTCAATAACTATAAACATGACTATTGGCAATGATTAATAAGATCTACAAGAGCTACTAACAGTATATAACCAGCATTGTATTGTTCATCTTTAATTTATTATGTTCATTACTAAATTATTAAAATTATAAAGATTTGTATTTCATTTTAATGAGTTAAATATTAAATGTTTTATTTGATTTTTTTATATTTAGCACTTTCAGACAATGTTTCATATAAATGATTAAAAAATATAGCAAATGTTAGTTTATAAACTTGTAGATTAGAAAAATGTAATATAAAATCGACAAATTGTTTACATTTCCCTGTAAAAAAAAAAGTAATCAAAATAATAAACTCACAGCGGCTCCAGGTGGACCCATAAATCCAGGCCGGCCAGGCACACCAGCTTCTCCTTTTAATCCTGGTAGCCCCTATTTATATAGAACAAATCTCAGCACTCAAATACAATTCTCTAATGAATAGACAATGCTGGAATCTTATAATGACATTGAATATATATCTCCTTTGTGGTTCCTCTGCTGTTAGCCTCAATTCTGGTCCAGGACTATGGCAAATAGGAAAAGAAGCTGCTGTATAATGTTCACACAACCCAATTAATAGCACACTACACAGTTGCCATTGTTTTCCCTCACTGACCTAATATAGGGATCAGCATATCGGATAAAGCTATATGTTACTAGCTGAATCTAAGTAATAGGGTGGAACAGTACAAGGCAGGAAAGCTATATCACTTGACAAAGGGTATTTATCACAATAAACATTGGGGAGTTTTATCACTGGGTGGAGGAAGGAAGGACAGAAAGGCAACTAGGATGCTTATTTACTGTCTTATCTAGATTTGCCTATTTTTTAGTTAACCAACATTTTTAATTACTTTTCTATATTTTCAACTTAGTTTTGCAGTAATACCTTTCTTTGAACCCTTGAGTTATTTTTCTGGAGGATAAAAAGGCCATGTGCATTTGATGGTGATTATTAGACACAACAGGAGAGAATGAAAAGCTTGCAGTATAACACACATTCTAAATAGTGTAGTTTCTAGATTTGGACTTTTTATATTTTAAGTGCTGGATAATTACAAATAATAGAGAGGCCTCTATGCTTATTAGTATAAGTTTAAGTGGAAATATATCAGATATAAAACATTAAGTAGGGCAATTGAAAGATATGCAAACATGAAAAAAAACACTAAGTACAACAGTGTATTGCTGTCCGGTCCATTTTCTCCACACATTTCTGACCTTGTGTGCTGATACAGGCACCATCTTTGTGCTTTGTAACTTAGGGGGTTATTCACTAAAGAACCGAAGCATTTATGTGAACATTTGGCTAATCCTTTGGCTGACTATGGCTGCAGAAACTCTTTGGCCCAGCTGAATGGAAGGGCTGCTGTTTACGCTATTGTCAACAGTACATACAGCAGCCAAAGCCAGCTGAAGTAAACAGCTGAGCCGCATGATTATGCTACAGCTCGGCAAAGCCAAACACACAGCCAGAGCAGGAACAATGGTCCGCCAAAGCAGACCACATCCCTGCTAGTTTGTTAAACATTACAATAATAAAATAAAACAGTGTGGGGTTCCCCTCCCCAATTCATACCAGACCCCTTAGGTCTGGTATAAATGTTAGGGGGACCCCGAGGTCAAAAAACTAAAAAGTGGGCTTCCCCTACAAATGCATATTAGACCCTTCAGGTCTGGTAGGTATTTTAAGGGGGACCCTAACGTCCAAAAAATGAAAAAAAAGTGGGGTATACTCTTAAATTCCATACCAGACCCCTAATCGGAGCAGTGGCCTAGCAGAGCAGGAAAGGGGAGGGAGGAATGAGCGCACCCCCTCCCTGTACCATACCAGGCCACATGCCCTTGACATTGGGAGGGTTCTTTTCTGGGTAGACCCCCTAAAAAAGCACCTTGTCCCCATGCTGATGAGGACAAAGGCCTCTCCCCCACAACCCTGGCCAGGTGATTATGGGAGTCTGTGGGACGGGGAGCTCATCTGCATCTGGCTGCCCCCTTTCATAAATGGTCAGGTATGATTTTGGAAGGAAACCCCACTCTGTTTTTTTGTTTTGTTGAGATTGACATATTTCATTGACAGAACTGAATACTGAGCTGAATGTTCGGCAATTCACTCTCTGCTGTTCGGCCTCTTGGAGAATAGGGGTAAACAGCAGGGGATGAATTGCCAAACGTCCACTTGTGACGATCCAGATGTTGCATCAGCTAAGACGAACTGGCTTTTTCCTTCGGTTCAGCCGAACGTACTGAGGCTGTTGAGCCGAGCTGAAGGGAGGTGAAGCGAGCCGCATGCAGTCGATGTGCGGCTCAAAATAGCCATACCTGGCTGCAGTGAATATCCAAAGAGGCTTCGGCTCTCTTTACTTCGGCTCGGTTGTTCATTTGGCTGCCTTCGGCAGCTTAGTGAATAGCCCCCTTACTCTTTCCCAGACACTTACCCAGCTTACCCACTTACCAAGTCCATGATGATATATTTGCACACAATTTAAGGGAAACCATTCAGTCCAAAACAGATTATGAGAATAATGTTTGAAAGCTGGTGAAGTGTAATACTTTTTCCCAGTTTTTTTTGCTAAAATTAGGTACCTCGGCTTATATTCGGGACGGCTTATACTCGAGTATATACGGTATATTATCTCAGAATACAGAACTCCAAGTTGCAGCATCTCTAAGATCACATGAATGACAGCAGAGAGAACAAATACATACAACAGAGGTTTCTTTACTGAGAAATGTAAGAAGGTATAATTGTTCAATATATGAAAACATACTTTTCAGACTACAGCTCTGCTTTAAAGAGGAACTAAACCCATCAATTGAACTGTTTCACAAGAATACTTCATTTAAGGCGTGCCTTTGGTGATAACTGCAACAGTTGCCAGTGTGCATATGTCAGCTCTCGACCAAACCTTTAAGCCCTCAAATGGCTGTTGTCATAGCTAATTACATGTGCATCCCCATAGAGTCCTTCAAATCTAAATAGAGGCCAAGATGGCACTGTCTTTGGCTGTACAAGCATAGGAGGATTTGGAGGATTTATTGCCCCTTTAAATAGAGAGAAAATAGAAGCAATGTTAATACATTATTTCACATTTAACTTACAGGTCTTCCTTGGGGACCCTCAGGGCCTCGCAGTCCCACAAATCCCTTTTCTCCCTTAAAAATAAAAATATATAATGTGTATTGTATCTGTGTATATGTTTAATATTAAAGATAACTAAACATTAAACTGTGACATGAAGTCACATTTTATATAAAAAGCAAGATGGACAATCAAAATTACTGAAAATATTTCACTATAGCTATTCTTCAACAACCTTATACTTTTAATATACATCAAAATGGTTTATTTTGACTATAATTACATAAATCAGTGTTGGCCCATTTTTACAGTCTTTGCACATTCTTTAGTGCATAACAAATATGCATGCCCTATAGATGTTGTAGATAACGCAATAGTAAAAGGAAAATATAGTACCCTTAGCAGCCCTTTATATTACAACAGCAGAATCACACATTTTGCTGAAAATCTGACAGGGTCCACACATTAAAAAAAAATCAATTCTTAAGATCTGCAACCTTTCACAATTTTTGAAGAGCTCTAGGTTAAAAAAAGATTCTTGTAATTAATATTCCCTTAAAAGTGGTCTATTAATAATAATGTGCAATCAGCAAAAAACAGTAATTTATAGCAAACAATCATAAATTGACTTTTACAGCCTATGGGTTAGCTCATTGCAGCTGACCTAATTCTAATTAGCTGCTATTAATTTCTGTACATCACTGGTCTTTGTTCTTTGATATGTAGTAACTACTGACAAAAAAACTAAGGAAATAGATGTATTTTTTTGGCCTGTTGATTTAGGCCTTATCTTTTTGTTGATGTTGGTAATTCTAGTGGATTAGATGTTTCAATTCCTGTATACAATTTAAAAAAAACAGTTTTCTAATTAGTTCTATAATCTGCAATCTGAAAGCTTTGGCTCCAGGAGTTTTAATACATTCTGATTCATTGCTACCCATACGCATCTGCAGGCCACAAAGCTGTTACAGTTTTAATTCTAAAATATTATTTTTAGTCCTAGAAAATAATTTTTACCTTAATCCCCAAAACTCCACTGCGTCCTTCTCCACCCTGAGGACCTTGATATGCCTAGGGCAAAGTGAACAAAACATTTAAAAAATGTTATGTATCAAATAATAAAAATTATTCAATTACCCATTACCATTATTCATACACATTATAATTGTAAGGCAGAGAAGATATAGAGAAAAGATAACACAAAACTTTAAATGGTGCTGGATGTGGAAAAGCATCCATCACCTGTGTTATTTATGTGGTATTCTTTCCATAGTCAGAGGGCTCCTATTAAGAGTCATTCTTAAAGGGGCAATTTTCTGTGGGCACAATTATAAAATAGATAATTGATCATTTTATTTTAAGATCTGTAGCCTATTATTCCATTTAGTGAAGAAAAAAAGAAATGAGTTGCACAAGGTAAAAAATGGTTTTGTGAACATAAGGTTCACATGTGTTTGGCACTATTCATTACATTTTTCCCTAATTTTTAATGTGAGTAGGTTTTCAGTCATGAAGCAACGTGTATTTCTCATGTCAAACCAAAAAGGTAAGCAAATCTGACAACTGTCTAACATGACATCTAAAACAGCCAAGTGATCTAATCTAATCTACAGCCAATAATGCCTTACTTCAATTCCATCATCACCATCACGTCCCATCAAACCTGGATCACCAATGATTCCCTGAAAAATACGACTGGAAATTAGAAAATGAAATTAAAAGAACAAACTTATGTCTGTCAGTTTATAGACAACTAATATTGTGTTGTCTGTGCATCAAGATCATTTGTTTCTGAGTACCAACGTAAGAATTTACTCTATGCCACCATAGATTATACTATACCTGCGGTCCCTGTGTACCTCTTCGACCTTTTGGGCCTAATATACCCTACAAAAAATGAATATGGTCAATTATTTATTTTAGATGATTATTGATAAACAGATAGCGTTAGATGGATAATAAATAGATAGATAGATAGATAGATAGATAGATAGATAGATAGATAGATAGTCACACTTACAGGCTCCCCTTTGCTCCCAACAAATCCAAGTTCTCCTGGGTCACCAATAAGTCCCTGAAAAAAAAAAGAGTTTGTTTGTTATTGTGACACGAATTAGTGTATATTTCAGTCTAGTAATTTTGGATTTATTAACAGTAATTGATTCAACAATACCTTTGTTCCTTGTCTGCCAGGACGACCCTCAATCCCAGGAAACCCATCATCGCCCTACAAATGTGTAGCGTTATATTTAGTTTGATAATTTATTACAACTTTATCTCATTTTCTATTTTTCAAAATATTTATTTAGACAGCCTTTTTAGATGATAAATAAAGATTTCCTGCCACTTTACACAGTGTTATTTTAAAACATTTAAAATAAACGTGAATCAATATTATGTTTCTTCTTATAGCAAAACATCATCACATAACAACAAAAATTTAAAAAATATATTTAACACACATTTCATATACAGGTCATATTTTTAGTGTCTATTGAATATCTGGGAGACCTTTGAAATGAAATAAAAAAAACACATCACACACATTTTATACCCAAATTAATTTGTTCTATAGTATCTGATGCTATCTACAAAGATTGAACAGTTTATTTCCAAAGCCATGGAAACTACTCAAAACAACTCGTAACAGCAGATGTATGAGATGCTAGTTGCCATGTATGGGACAAGCAAAAAATATTATTTATAGAAACGCATAAATACTGTGGGGGGGGGGGGGGAATGTATCAAAACTGGAGCAGCTGTACATGGTAACCAATAAGCTCCTCTCTTCAGTTAAGATTTGAAAATGACAGAGAGAAGCTGATTGGTTCTGCACAACTGCTCCAGATTTTGTCTGCTCCAGTTTTAATAAATTCCCTTCTGTATGTCTAAAACGTCAGGTTTTTAATGCTGCGGTTCTAATAATGAGACGTACCTTAACTCCCGTGAATCCTGGAATTCCTTCATACCCTTTTTCTCCCTCTTCTCCCTAAAAAAATAGAATAACTATTTCTTTGACAGCACTGGATATAGACTGTAATTATAAAAACATTATTTGTATTGTGAATTATTTATTGGCAAATATGGGGAACTGTATTGGAGATACATATAAATTAGGTTTAACTGAAACGTAAACTAAATACAAAAATCAGTATTACCAGTAACCTTATTGTCATCACCTTTCCTCTAGTAGTGAAGGTCATTGTAAGCCAAGACATGATTAGTAGAAAGAATACAACGTATTTAGCCCCTAAAACCCCAAAGTAGCTGCACACTTTGTACACCGTGAACTGCAATCAATGGAAAGTTTCATATTTCAAAAGCTTGAATTACTTCATTGCACAGCAGAGATGTACATGCACTATGCTACAGTACAAATACTGCCTACTAACACTTTTGTGTGGGGTAACCTGGAGGAAAATATTTTGTTAAATGAAGTATATTCACTAATATGCATAACCAAGCTGTTGGTCAATTACAATTACAGAACTATAAAGTACAGGGACAAAAAAATCAATTGAATGTTAGGCATTGGTAAATGATTTTCAGCGTTCAAAAGATAATCTAGTGGTTGAGAATTTTTACATCCTAGACTTGATTTATTATTAATTATATTACCTTATCTCCTTTTGGCCCTGACGTTCCTCGTATTCCTGGTGGGCCTGCGATTCCCTGAAGTATAAGTGCACTTTAGTAAGTGTTTTCATATCATAAAAAAAGTTTACAGCATAAAGAAGGGACTTTTCATAACTAGATAGATAGATAGATAGATAGATAGATAGATACTGTAGATAGATAGATAGATAGATAGATAGATAGATAGATAGATAGATAGATAGATAGATAGATAGATAGATAGATAATTTTACTTACTTTGAAACCATCTGCTCCTGAGAGTCCTTTGAATCCAGGATCTCCTCGGTTACCCTATGAAAATGTGTATTGCCTTTTTAAAGCACACTGGCACATACAATTTACAGTTAGCAAGGTAAAATATCACGTGTGCCTGATGTTGATCAGAAATTAGTGTACAGAGGAGTTTTGGTGGATGTTGCACAACTAACAAACTAAATAGACTGAATTAGCATTCTACTTCCGTCCTAGAGTAATCAAAACCTTCATGACTTGACCACATTTTGGTAAATATTTTTATTACTGGTAAATATGAACTGGAGAAATTAACAAAAATAAAGAAAAATTAAGTTTTATACAAAACATTTTTGTATAGTTAATATAATTAAAAATATTTTCACTAAATTATTTTTTCCTACTTATCCTGAGTATGGAGACACCAGAGTTGTGTAGGTTTTGATGCATACGTCAGTGCTGCATTTTAAAATTATAGGCATTTCCATTAGTTCAATAGCTAGAATTCAGAAAAAATTTGGAAAATGTTTCAGATTTATTTCAAAAATTGACACTGCCTGTCACAGGGTTCTCCTTCCCTCCCCACGGATGAATATGCTGTAAGCAAAAAGATGCTGCTAAAATGTAATAGGCAGCAGAAAAGTATGTTGCTGGGAACACACTTTCCCTTGATCAGCATAATTATTAAATCATGGTAATCTTTTAAACTGTTATCACTCCAAGCCGTTACAGATTGATTAGGCAGGGTCTCCAGCTTGACTGTGCACTGGCATGCGAGAGATCAAAGCAATCTCTAAAGCATGCTGCAGCTGAAACTAAGATGACATTAATTAACGCCTTGATGTAGGAACCCCCCCCCCTTTCCCCAGAACTACATCTCCTAAGAGCTTGTTCTCTATGCAAAATGTGTGGGCAGAGTCTTGGGCCTCGAAACAGCAGCATTGTTTTTCTGGTGAAGGATAGTCATGGGTGGGAGATGGAGGTGGGAATTCTGTAGTCCTGCAGGCAAGGCCAGCAATGCAGGTTGGGATTTCAGTGCAGAAAATGCAAAATGAAAAAGAAGCACACTGGATTCCTGGCAGGTTAACTGGTATTTTTCTTTATTAAGGCATAACATATAGGGAAATTTGCATGCATTGGCGAGATGCAATGAGTATGCTTTTATTTAGTTTTTCCCTGACATTCACTTTGGGATTGATTTTCTATAGGCAAATAGGCTTTTATATTCACAAAGGAATTTGCTCTTTGCAAGGGCATTTTACCTTAGCTTAGTGTATGATATGACATAAAGTACTGTTGACTTGACTTCTGTCATCCAATCATGTGCAATCGGAAAAAAAGGGGGGGGGTTCCTGCACAAGATTGGTTTTTTTGCAAAGTGATTTTTCACCACATTCACTAAGCTAAGGTAACATTATTTTACAAATTATCTTGCAAAGTGAACAGACTATTTGCTTTTAGTAGAGCAACCCCTTTAAGCCAGCCAAGTTAATTTTGCAATCATCATCTAGGTCTTTATGTGACCCTAACTAGATACATCTTTTTTAACCCCTTCATGACTGGAGACGTACACTGTATGTCTCAATTGAAAGTGCCCAAATGACTGCTCACGTTCACTGTACGTGAGCTCAGGGCTTTGAAATGCTGGTGACCATTGAGAATCAGCAGTTACTATTCATTAATGGATGCCTCAGTATTAAGACATCCATTAATGAAAAAGTTAAGCTTTTATAAAAGCTTCTTTCTTTCATTAATGAAAGAATGAAGCTGTTACAAATACCGGATCACTATCAGTGATCCTGTATTTGACAACTGAAATAGAAGAACGGTGTGCACACTGCTTTGCTATTTTAGTTTTGACAGCTCTGTAGAGATTGGGACTTCCCGATGTGTACAGGTTTTGTTACATTCTTCAGCACATAAATATGTTACAATGTATTTCTTTGCTGATGTTTCCCAGACGATCAGAAGCCTTTAGTGAGATCTGATCCTGACATGCTGTCAGGATCAGTCACTAAGGTTATTATTAGCTGTTCCTAAGTTTGGTGCAGCCTAATAATAACCCAAAATGACAAAAGTTAATTAAATTATAAAGCAGTCATAGTGACTGCTCGATATAATTGACAAAAAAGTGTAAAAAAGTGTAAATAATCCCTTACATTGAAAATCTGCAGCTGAGCTGCAGGTTTGTTTTTCACCCTAAAGGGTTAATTTTTTATTTATCGCCCTCATGATGGCGTTGTTCGAAATATGTAGCTGTCCCTAAGTGTGACAGTGACACTTAATGACAGTGACTTTGTAGGCTACCTAACCAAACCACTCTTAGTTTTTAGAGAAAAAAAAATGTAATGTTAGCTTTTAGTTTTAGGCTGAAAAGTACAGCAAACTTTCTGAAATCCTAGAGATGTGAGGTGTTTCCAGATAAAGGACAAATAAACAAATTTATTTTAAGGCCTTTTTTTTTAGCTGTGCTATTTTTCTAAAAAAAATAATAATAATCCAAACTGGGAAAAAAGTGTTTTCTTTACATGTATTCCTCTTTTTTTTAAATGTTATTCATTCTAAGTGAGGCCTTAGGAGCACATATGTGATATAAAAATATAGCCCCATCTGTCCTCTAAAAAACAATATATAATATGTGTGGGTGCACTTAGTAAGAAACTATATTACTGTCGTGGAAGAATCACACAGGAAAAATTTGAAAAGTGCTTCAGTCATTAACAAACAGAAACTGAAAAAATCTCAGTCATGAACTGTTAAACCTAATCTTGTTTATGTTATTTATTTACCATATTTGTGAATAAAATATACAGGGGGACATGATAAATTATTTTTTCTTAAACTTAACATTGTTGGCGGAACTGTCTGTTTTTATCCTAAAAAAAATGTTTATCTGCAGTGTTTCATTCTTCTTCATGACTACTAAAGGAAAAGTATGCAGTAACTGACAAAGGGAACCAGTAGCATGTACAGGAGAGGGCAGCTCATTCTTTACATGATTCCTCATGCTGTACTTGGCACTTATCTAGGGCAGACAGTAGATAGAAAATAATCTATATTATGTCAACACAAATACATATACCCATAATTCACTGACTTAGCATTTTAGCTTTAACTCCTTATATATTTAGCTAGTTAATATAAATTCCATCTTCTGTAAAAAAAAATATGTTCACAAATAATAATGAAAGTGAATACTTGTACAGGGTATGCACATCTATGTGCAATGCTATGGGACAGGCCCAAATTAGTTCAACAAGAACTTTGTATGAAAAACAAAATGTGAAATAATAAATACTTACTCTGTCACCAGGTATACCTCTTGCTCCCTTTTCCCCCTTTATGCCTGTTTCTCCCTAAATATCATGGTAAAGAAAATTCACTTTTTAACACAAAAATGATGAAAACACATTTTCAGATTAAAAACAGAAAATGAACTCCAAAATATATTAAACAGCAAACCTTAAAGCCAGTGTCACCAATACTTCCATAAGCACCAGGACTGCCACGAACTCCCTAACCAAACACATAAATAATAAAATGTTTAGATATTTGATAAATATATGGTTATGTATATAGTTTCATTACATACTTTACTAAAAGTATTTGACAGTTAATGTGTTGGATACATTTATATATGTAAGAAAATGACACAAAATATGATTTTTTATGTCAAATTCCTTTTCTCAAAGCATAGGGTGGAAAAGTTCAATAATAGATGATTGTTTCCGTTGTTGCATAAAGTTCAGAATGTGTTTAATTTAAAGTTACAAAATATTACAGGATATGGTATATCTTACAGAATGAGTCTATAAGATGCTTGATGATTACAAAATATAGTATATCTTACAGCAGAAATCTATAAGATGCTTAAGAAACATGTCTTTTAGTTAGTAAGTGAAAATAGGTGTCTGTCTATTCAATGTGAGTGTGGGTGTGTCTGTGTGATGCTGTGCGTGTGTGTGTGTCTGTAGTGTGAATGAGTGTGTGAGTGTGTGTGTCTTGAAGGATCATCCCTTTTATCCATGCTTTTACTTTAAAATAACCTATGGGATGTTTACCTTAAAAGTCTTTCTGATTAGCATAAGGGAGTGCCATACTCTAGTAGCTGAGTCATGTGTTCTCCTTGTATCCCATTTTGGGCATCATAGGGGTCTATTCACATGATTATCAATTCTAAACTAAAAATCAGCAGCACCAGTCAAACGGCATCTCCAAAATTGGATAGATTAAAATATAGAAAATCAATCATCATATAAGGTTCACACATACATATTTCAATATATCTGGTTTTATGGTTTTAACAATATATAAGTACCAAATTTCCTGAATGACCAAGTTCTCCACGTTCACCTGCATGGCCTTTCTCCCCCTAAACATTGAGAAAATATGAATTCAAATGTATTATTTTTTAATAAATGTTTTTACTTAGCATTTCTCAAATTACCAAATTAAAATGAAATCTAAGAATAGAAATGTCATTAGCAGTTCTCTATTACCTTTGTTCCTGCAGTTCCCTGAAGACCTAATATCCCATGTGAGCACTTACAACCTCGAGAGTTAGCCCCGATGCTTAGCTCAGCAGAACCCCCACACTAGGAAGAAAATAAAATTCATAACAATGTCAAATAAAATCCAATGGTCCAATAAATTTGATCAGCAGCCATAGAATGCAATCATTCGTGTTTTGTATTGAGCCAGTTCACAATGGGCTTTTAAAAGGACCGGATTAATAGTAATGGGTAACAGACAGTTCTTAAAATTACCCTCGGCATTCAGTTTTTAGTCCTATTGGAAGATTACCCTCTATTTCCGTTCCAGTGACATCTTAAAATATGATTTTCCCTCTTTTTTAGTCCAAGTGACAAAGGTCAACAGGACAAATGGTAATGGGGGAACGTCCCTAACGGGGACACAAACAGCAATAAAAACACGACATGAATTCTAATAATTTCCTATAAAATTTAAAACAAAAAGTTTGGGTTATACACATACATATTTTTTAATGGACTGCCTAGAGATTATAATGGTGAGGTTATGTGGTTTCTCAGTCACTTAATTGTCAGATCATCTGCATAAAAGGTTCCTTTTTGGTGAACAGGGGCCCATGAGGGATCCACTTATAAAATCACTCTGGTGACTTGCATAAGGAAAGTACCAGTACTCTGGTGACTTGCATATGAGAAGGACCAGTATGATGATGTCTGCAGATAACTCCAAGCTTATAAGACTGCTGTAGAACTTGCTCAGTGAACCTAATGGGAACTGCAGGGTATAGCATAATGTATTTTTAGAGGGGATCCTATCCCTTCTCTTCTGCAAAGTGGCAGCAAGTGCCTATGCAAGAATTCTCTGTGCCTAGCACAGGATTAGGAATGAGCAAATTTGCCCAAGTTTGGTTCAGCAAATTTGAACTCTTTAAAATTCTGCAAACTTCTGCAGAAGTGTCTATGGGACCAAAGCCGCAAGACCACCTGCACCTTTTTGCACGACAGGTGATTGTGCCCGTGCATCGCAACAGAAAAAGGTGAACTGCCTCCATTGATTTCAATGCGAATCTGTGTTTTGTGCGATTTTGTGCAGCTAAATCCACGCCATAGATTGCCCAGGTGTGAACCTTATTGTTAGGTAATCAAAATGTTTATACTGTATACTGTATATATAATAGTTCACACAGCATTTTTATCAATTGTATTGTGTGTGTCTAGTACAGTTAAAAATGTTTATTATAAAGTAATCAGGATTAACTGAACCCTACACAAAGGTTTGTACAAACCAGGAACAGCAAAGCTATTTTGGTTGGAGGCTGTAGGAAAAGCTTCAATCAATCAGTGTGAGAGAATAAGCAGTAGCAGAAGTAACAAGTGTTTTGAAAATCTCTTTGTGCTTTAAAGTTCAAAGAGCCTGTAAAGAGGAATCTGCTGTTTTATACGTTTTCCTTCTTCACCCTTCATATCATTGTCAGAAGAGTGTTACTTTTATGAACCTTTCCTATTGTCAACAGCAAGGAGAAATATTTAATTGAACAAAGCAAGCTGTGAGCAATGACAGCAATCGGGCAGAAACCAGCAGTTTCCCAAACATTTTCTTGTTGAACGGACTGTATCTTTTGGCAGTTTAAAAGTGGAAAAGTAAGTGAGAGTCGGATAAGAACATTTGTACAGCTGATAAGCTTATTCTCCTCTCTGCATAGGTTTTTTGTAAATGGATCTATTATGAATGCCTGGAAGGTAGGAGGTGCTGTCATTGGAACAGGGGTACCTTGTAATCATTCCCTAAACATACCTATATAGCAAAGTCAGACTTTTATTTTTAAACTCTTTTATTTTCTGTTCAGAGCAATAAATGTAGTCTTCCAGTTGTTGGTGAGGTTGACACCTTTATTTTAGGAAAATAAATACAGGATAAGAAATACAGTATTACTGCAACTATTACCTCTGGCCATTACTAAGCGGTTTCTCACATTTATTTCTGAAGATGGAAAAGCTCTTCTATAAAAAAAATAGTTTGAAGGATTTTTTTAAGTAGTGTGTGCAGTTAATTAATTTAAAATTGCACTTCCATTTCCCTGTACTGGTGCAATGGCAGTGCGATGGCAGTACTTATACTTGGAAAATAAAGAAGCTACCAGCATTCTCCCTGTACACTGGAAGTCACATTAAATTAAGTTCAGTGAATGTTTGCAGTGACATTTCCTCCTGACTAAGGACATGGTTCAACTAGAGCTACCTTAATTATGCCCATCCTTTTGTTGATTCTTTATTACAGCAAAGGACCATGTTGTGTATGCAATTTTCAAAGTGTCACTGTGCATATGGCAGGTCAAGTACACAGGACTGCACACTTACTTGATCATATAGCTCACAACATTGCTCCAACAAAGCCCTTCCTGGGTCATAGTGTATTTCAAGCTTCTGCATGTCAACCTGCAATAGAAGCAATATAAAATAAATGCAATGCAGAATAATACCACCAGCTATAGAGGACTACAAATCCCAGCAATACATTATACACCAATGCTGAATACCATGATCTATAGAGGACCACAAATCCCAGCAATACATTATACAGCAATGCGGAACACCATCATCCATAGAGGACTGGTGCTGGGTCCTGTACCCTGGTCTATGGTGCCAGGGAGCAAAAGAAACACGTAACTAGTTTTGTATTTCACAAAATAATAGCATGAATTTAACCACTGATCTGAAAAGTATTACTATAACAATTACCAACAGCACATACACATTTTTTAAGTTAAATGGGCCATTTTTCCTCTACTGAAGGACCTAAGATTTTTTTTAGGACTAGCAAAAGTTTCCCTGTTCCAGAATGGGCCAGGTTGGGCCTTTTTTAGATCATCAGTGTGGTGAAGGTGTGCAGGCATGGAGAATGGTAACGGGTCACAGGTGTGACAGGTGGTGAAGGAAGGGGGGGAAAGGTGTGACAGGTGGTGAAGGAGGGGGCAAAGGCATGGAGGGTGGTGATGAAATGGGGGCACATATATGGTGGGTGGTGAGAGAAGGAAATTGCAAGCACAGACTATGGTAAAGGAAGGTGGGCACAGCGACAGAGTGTGGTGGAGGAAGGGGGGCACAGATGTGGAGGATAGTGAGGTAAGGAAGGCACCGGCATGGAGTCTGTTAAGGGAAAGAGAGCACAGACATAGAGCGTGGTGAGGGGGTGCGCAGGCAGAAAGAGAGGTGAGGGAAGTGGGTGCTGTAAAGCAGGAAAAAACAAAACAAAAATGACAATCACACAAATCAAAAGGCCAGCGCAGCACTAAAACCTTTGTTTTTAACACAAATTGTTAGACATTGTAAAAAAAATTTTTTTTTGAAGGCTAGCTGATAAGTTTGCTGGGTGCTGTAGAGAAAGCGTTATGCTGCATACAAGGCAAGATGATACATAATTCAGGGGCAAGGCCATATATTCAATGTGTCCACTCTCATTGAAGAGAGAGAGAAGGTGTAAGGCCTGAAACAGATGCAGAGCAGCCTGCAGAAGTCACAATGTCTGTTTCAACAGCACACACAGCCATTTATCATTACATTGTAGCTACATTAGTGGTGCTGCTACCCCCTTCCCCTAGGTAAGCAGAAGTCATTCCCTACAGAACCACAATCCTGGCCACTCACTGTACATGGGTTAGAGCTCTTTGTACATCAGCCCCACCACATAACCCTCACTGATATATTTACAGGAGCAGATGCTGGGATGGTGGCATAGCTGTGTATAGGCTGCAGAGTGGACAAAGCAGTCTGTTCAGGAGAGCATTGGCCAGAAGTATAGTCGTCTGGGTGGGGGAAGGGACAGGGCTAGGAGAGCAGACACTTGAGAAGGGTGAGTGAGTGTATGCTGTTGTGTGTTGTTGTTGCATGTTGTTGTGGTCAGAGACAGCGGAAAGAGAGCAAGCACTGGACTTGAAGTAGGGGACTAATCGGGGATTGCACAGTAATGTATTTGCAATCCATTTGGCCAATAAAGAAGAAAAAGCAGAGGGAGGAGAAGGTGAAATCTCCACTGGAGGCAGAATCTCCCATGCACAAAATGAACCCCTGACTTAGCCATGTTCCTCTTACATGAACGTGTGACATGTGTCCTCTTCCTACACCCTATTATAGGATTCTAAAAATCAAGGAGTACTATACAGCATAGGAGCAGTAAAAAGTAGAATGTAATAAGTCTGCTAATACAGGACAAATGCATATGAGGCTCCTAAGGAAAGAAGCAACAAGGTGTCAAGTCAGTGAGAGGAGTTTAGAAAGGAGCACACTTGTTCGTGCCTTCTACCTTCAGGTCATGAACTTAGGCACAGATGTTTTTTTATTTGGCTTCAAGTGACATAGGGGTCTATTCACGAAGCAGCCGAAGGATCTAGCCGTAGTCTTGGCCGATCCTTCAGCTGGCTTTGCCACCAGGACCCCTTCGGTTCAGTAGAACCGAAGGGGTGCTGTACGGGCTATTCACAATAGCCCGTACAGCTCCCGAACTTAGCCGAGCGGCTCAGTCGAGCCGAACGCATATGCCTCGGCTCGGCTGAGCCGCGCTGAAAGCCAAAGCTGGCCGAGCGGCTTCTGCTTCTGACAGCTGGGCGGAGCCAGCCGTGATCTTACGGCTGGCTCCGGCCACTTGCAGGGAGATCAGCGTTACCAGCTAACCAGGGACACTGATCTCCAGACAGCAAACTCTCCTGGGCGCTCCAGGAGTCTCCTGCCACCCAGGAGAGAAACAGTGCTTTTTTTTCTTATTCTGACACGGAGCCGTGTCAGAATAGAAAAACATTTTTTTTTTTCCTATAGGAATACATTGCTAGATTCCTATTGGCTATTTCAATTTGCAATAGCCACTAGTAAACTGGCATTGTACCCGCCCTCTGCTGCAGTTCTCCATCAGGTCCATCAGCAGAGGGCGGGTACAATGCTAGTTTACTATTGGCTATTGCAAATTGAAATATCCAATAGGAATCTAGCAATGCAACCCTATGGGCAAAATGTTTTTTTTTCTATTCTGGCACGGCTCCGTGTCAGAATAAAGAAAAAAAAAGAAAAATCAGTGTTTCTCTCCATGGCGGCCGGGAGCGGGAGACTCCCAGAGCGCCCGGGAGCGGGTTTTTTTTTACATTTTTTTGACGGCAGCAGAACTGCCGGCCAATAGAAAACTATTGGGCAGAGCTAGCTGTCATTGCTAGCTCCGCACAATCGTTTTCTATTTTTTTTAAAAACGTTTTAAACTATTTTTCTGTTCTGCTCGGTCCTACAGAGAGACACAGCAGAACAGCCGAGCCGAATGCCGCTCAGTGGCATTCGGCTATTCACTCACTGCTGTTCGGCATCTATAAGAATAGGCCAAACAGCAGCGAGTAGCCTGCCGGAGGTTCGGCTCAGCCGATCCAGATGTTGGATCGGCTGAGTCAAACTCCTTCTGCTCTTCGGGTCGGCCGACCCAAAGTCATGTGAAGCAAGCCGATGTACGGCTGATTTCAGCCGATATACGGCTGAAATCAGCTGTACAAGCCTGAAGTGAATAGCCGAACAGCGTTCGGCTCACTTTACTTCAGGTCGGTCTTTCACGCGGCTGCCTACGGCAGCTTAGTGAATAGACCCCTTAGGGACTCAGGGAGGTGGAATCCTTTTTTACTCTATCCAAAACAAGGTTTTAGTAGTAGTTCCACTTTATCATCAAAGAAAGGGAAAGAGTTTCCAGAACACACTTTATTGACAATATTCATAGCACTTTGTCATGTATCTTGAGGGTAAGAGGAAGGGTTGCCAAAACACATTTTACTGACAATATGGAAGTACTTACCAGTGAAGAGATCCCATTCTTTTGAGGAAGTTTCTCTTCTATTACAGAGACATCGCTGACATCAATACAGTCTAGAACCATTTTAGCATTACCATTTGTTAAACTGAAAGCTAACTTGTGCCATTTCCCATCAAAAAGCTTTTCAGAATTGCTATGTTTCTGGAAAATAAGAGTCTTGATTGGCGTAGAGTAGAACAAGTTTACAGTCTGTGAATTGTTATTAAACCTGAGTCCGATTTCATGTTTTTTATTTCCATCAATAAACTTCCATAAATTCCAGATCCTCTGAGGCACAGCGTTTACAATTTTAAAAGTGGCAATAATAGAGTAATCAGTAGGTAATCCATCTGAAGGGAAAGCACTACAAAATAGATAAAATGCAAAACAAAATGGAAAATATGAGGGTTACAGCAATAGAAACAGCAGTTTTAGTTCTCATTTTACTTTTTTTTACTTTTTTTGAGTCTTTTGGCTGTAGGGCCATGTCACACTAACAACTCTCAAGCAGAGGCTTGTAGCAACCAGAACATCATGTTCATCTTCTCTGGCAATGTGTATCTAGCTACAGAGTTGCAGTTGTAGCTGCTTACAACAAACATCTATGCAGCTACCGATCACTGGTGAGCCTTGATCATGAGCAGCTATATTGCTTAACATGAGTAGCTATGGAAGCTTGTGATAGTGAGGCTGACTTACTAAAGGAGTTGAGAATGTTCACACAATAATAATATCCACTTCAATCTGCCAATCATGTGCAGGCCAAATAAGTAAACAGGATTTTTTTTCTTTGCATGATTGGCTAATTGAAGTGAATCTTCAGGCAATTTGTGTAAACATTCTCACCTTTTTTATTAAATTAGTCTTAATATATTTTGTTATAAACACTGCAAAAAGTAAATCACTCATCAAGTGAGCAAGAAATCCCATTTCCCATCGCAGACAACAAATGTATGTCAGATGCACATTTTATCCAAAATAATTTTCTATTAGAAAACCTTGTGTCACTATCAATATGAAGTGGAATTAGACTTACCAGAACAAAAGCTAAGAGAACATACACAATATATTTTTTTTCTGTGTTTCCTAAGGAGTAGCTGTACTTTCTGTGATCATAGTTTTTCTATTCTCTGCCATCTCAGCTTTGACCATATCATGTACATCATGATATAGTGGTTGTATTAATTTTATAAATATTTATTGATTTCCCAGATTTTAATCCAAAGCTTTGTTTGCCTAATGGACCTTTATTTTCAGCTCTCATTGCCGACAATTATTAGGGGTCCTGGTGCCGAAGCTACGGCCAGATCCTTCGGCAGCTTTGTGAATAGACCCCTATGTATTTAGCTACTACTACTACAAGTCATACTGTTGATGCTACGGTCAGCGCAACGCATACTGTGATGTTTTGTATTGTCGATTATCCTATGTGATAAAATAATAAAAACACTTATATGCAAAAAAGTGGTTGCTCACCTCTTCTTGGATTTTCTTATCATGACAAAACAGATGAGTACAGTTTTCACAAACCTGATAAACACAGGTGTCTAAAGAATAACTACTTAGTGATATACTTGCATAATTGTCTAATTTAGCATACCCATCTTTCTTCAGGGAAACTGGAGCCTTAATGCGGACAGCAGATAATGTTGGGTTAGATCCATTCACTCTTGTTATTTCTGTGGCTGTGGAAAACCTAAGTTCTTCAATAAGGTCATACACTGCGAAATAGTAAAAATAAAGATATTTTAAAAATATGCAAATGTTCACCAAAGTAATGTATATGCATTCACTATCTTATTTCATAAGATTCCATATACTAGGATAATCCATCAGTCTAACATTTAGACACTTCCATCACACACATACTCCGATTACTCCCGTTAACAAGCTAGTCTTAGTATCACCCTCAGATGACATGTTTTAGAGGCAACACTCAGGAACACTGAGGCTCAAAATGACAGTTTGCCCGCTCTGTGTGTAGTAATTAAATCTAGAAGAAACAACTAGAAGAGTAGAGCAAACTGTTGTTCTGTTTTTCTAGCTGTTGGGTTCTAGATGTATTAACCCAGTTAATAACATGATATGTGGGTAACTATGCACTTCCCTGGGCAGTCTTGTCGTTCTATGCTACGGTCTATCTTGGCTATGATGAAATCTGGCCCTTCCTCCACTTCCATTGTTGCAAAACAGTTACACATTTGTTAGGGGAGATTAAAAATACAAAGTTGTCCTAGATATTTTAAAATGTGTTTTAAACAACTGCTTTATCAGGATACCATTTTTACAAAAATCCCAGAGCTCAGCTTTGAAGAATGCACTTCATAGTGACCCTGTTTAACAACCTTAAAACATGAAAATAATTGATTTTCGGTTGACTGATAAGTTAGTAAAGATATAAAACCAAAATGGGTCTTGTAAACAAAAGGCTGTAGACCCCATCCCAATAGTTTTTCAATTGAAATAGTCAAAATAATTAATATAAACTATTTAATGCTAACTCCATCCAAAATGTATACTTAGGTTTAGGCTATATTCCAAAATGATGAATCACCATCCAGATCCCCATGTCTTTCAGGCCTCAGGGTGCAAGTTCTCTGTGCTGAATCCCCACTCATACCATCGCCTATTGAGTCATCTCACTTTTGCATTGCATACTCCATTTATTGTAGATTATGGAGGATATAGCATGAGGAGTAAGACTTATTTGCTTAGCTTTATAATGGCAAGGGCATGGGGCAGACCCAAGTTGATTGGTGGGTCAACCCAATGGTTTAAATTTTGAATTAACAGTTTTAGTTGTGTATATCCTTTAAAACAGTTTATGAATAAGACTCCTGAACACCAAGGATACCTGGTAGGGTACCAGAATCGAACAGGTTATTGATTTACAAGGTTGGAAAAAAACAATTTCAAGCTCTTACAATTCTGATTTTGGTTTGGACAAAACAAAAAAACAAAAAAGAAACTCTGAACAACTGCTGCCACTTTTGTCATGCATGGGAAGGGGAAAAATACTTCCTGACCCCCAAGAGCAGTTGGATCAATTATCAGGATCAAAATATTCCCTTATTATCCTTTAGTATTTATAACATTGTAATTATTAGTAGTCATAGAATCATCAAGTTTTTTAATGATTTTATTGATTTTGCTATTTCTGTCCTCCTGTAGTAAATATTTACACAGGTTTACTTTTAGCTGCACCACAGTTACCACAGTTAGTAAAGTACCGCAGCACTGAATACTGAAAAATGGCCTGGCCAGGAAGGGGGTGAAACACTATGGCCTTTAAGTGGTTAAAGAACGCATTTCTAAACTGACTGTAAGGGTGAAAAAGTTTCCTGCTTAATTTTATGGTGGTTTGCTATTATTCTACTGTACTAATTCACTGCTGCATTTGGTGTATAATTGCTAGTATATGCATACCAGTCTTTTTAGTTAATGTATTTATATTTAGTCTTGAAACATATGAGTTATTATTTAATAACACAATAATTGTGTTTAGATGTAGCTTTGATTTTATTAAGGCTTACCAGAGAGAGCAGGTTCTTGGCATTTTATAATGCTCAGTAATGTGCAAAAACCGATGAGTTTTGTGAATTTCATCTTCTTTTTTCCAAATGACATATATCTAAAATGACAAATACACAGACTAAATTATGATATGTTGTTAATAAAAGCTTAAAATGTATTAATGTATGCACCAAATGTTATTATATTAATGCCAACTTTTTTCAGATAACAGGCTGAGAAACACATCCATTGAAGGGAAATTATAACGGACAATTTTCAATTAGGTGTTCCCATATATATGCTTGTTTTATTTTATATGTGTGGATCTATTTTTTTTTGTCTGTCATTTTTTACTATGTATATACAATCATTGTATTTATATTTAATGCATGACAAAGGCTGACTTAGCCAGATGGTTGCAAATTTGCTCTTAAAGATGCTTGTTTCATAGCACAGTTGGGCTGACTTAATGCTATAGAAATTTAAATGTGCAATTTTGAAACGTTTTGGTCTGTCAAACCTACTTGTAAATTGTAATTGTTGCATTTAGTGTGTTGTTCATAGAAATGTTGTGAATGTCTGTTATGTACAGTGCTGCTGAATTACTTGAGTGGTAGATATTACGTGTTTACCATACCATCATGTGAACACCATATTGTAGCCAAACCTAGGCAGAGAATATGCCTAATATTCAAATACACTGACTGTTCTCAAATCAGCAAGCAGTGTACAGGCCTATGATTGTAATGTTGTATGTTCAGCCATAACTTGAAAAAAGGTGATGGCGGTTCTAGCCTTCCCCTATTTTACTAAAAAAACTGTTTTTATTTCTGTCTGTGTTGCTCTTGAGGATTTACCCAGCACCGTGTGCTGGTGAAACCATTGTGCCTAGAACAGCAAGTAAGGGATCTCGTTTTTAACAGAGCTTGGATAGCAAAAAAAATGACTAATCTGTCCCCTTATCTCCAAAGATAAAAAACATAAAATACAAATGTTTTGGCTGGACATACATTTTAAAGTTAAACTAATTCAGATTTCATGCGCTTTTCCCTTTGTAAACACTTGTTAAACACCTGCATGGAAAAGATTGCTTAGCATCTAAGACAGTAAACCTATTTCAAACCTTTGTAGTTTGAACTGATTGCTATGATACATACATACATACATAGAGGATACCTTAATTAAAAACTGCATATTAAAACAATCAGTAGATTCAAAGATATAAACTTCTGCGGTTTAATGAAAATTTTGATTTTGTTGTAAAAGTCAAGTGTGGCTCCATCCTTTCTAGTCTATCAATTACCCCTTTTGGACATCAGTGTGATGGGTTGCTTCACAGACCTATGAGGAGGCTGAGTAGGTGGGAGGAATGGGGTCAAGATTGCAGGAAAAGTTCTGATTTTTCATATAACTGAAGCTGCCTAAAACTCTGTATCTAATAATTATTTTGATGTCAGGCTTTCACTGAGGGAAACCTCTGCTTATGCAATTTTTCATCACATTCACAGTTTTAATTGCCCAGGTGTGTTTATGGGGATGCTGCAAATTCTTAGCTCAAATTACTAGCTAACAATATGCTTATAAGGTCTTAAAGGACCAATAATCATACATTACAAGTTTGTTTTTACAAACTCTTTTCAACACAAAATTCCTGGGGCAATATCTTAAAATGTATGTTATTTAAAACCTTAAAATAATTTAAACGATTGCCTATGCTCCTGTCAATTTTAAACGCCCAATCTATGATATTTTACCTCTACAAATCATGTAAATATAAGCAAGATAATGTTTTGCTCATGGAACCTCCTCTTATAGTGTGACAATGCTCACCCACTGTCTTTTTGGGGGACTACAGGTAGCTATATTTGCAGACACTGGGGGGTGACTTCCATCTTCTAATCAGGTGCAAGCAAAAATACATGTTTTTATTATGTTCCTTGCTGGAAGGTTAATCGGTTCCTGTCTAAATTGGCCCTGTATGTATGCATGTGGGATAGTAGGACCTTAGAATGGACAGAGACTGATGTAAATGTGCAACTATGTAAAGCGCTGCTTAAATTGTCAACTCTATATAAATATCTGTAATAAATAAATATGTATGGTTATACTTTGCAAACTTTACCATATTTACTAAGCTAAGGGAAACTTCCCCTGCAAAGTATACATTCCCTTGCAAAGTGAACAGCCTTTTTTTCTTTTAGTAAAACATCCCCAGTTTGTTTGTAGGCCTGTCTGTTATCTGTCCATGCCATTCTTCTCACTGCCACACTCCACATAGTGCAGTGGGAAGTCCAGCAGGAGCTGCAGGGCCTTGAAGTCCAGGACCTCACACCGATGTCACTGGCAGTGATGTACCACTGCTCCTCTATGCCTTTCCACAGCCCTTGCCATGAATTGTGCAAAACAGAAAAAAAGTGGCCTCATGACCTCTGTTGGAGCTGATTTATAAAAGCCTGATTTATAAAAAATTTCATACAGAAGATAGGCAAAGGATACTCCCAAAGTTGCTACATATTTGCCTTCACATCTACTTTAACAAAAATACCCATACTTAATCAAACAACCTTTGACAGTCCTGCTAGCAAATGTAATAAAAATTATTATAGTTGTTTCCAATAACCTAAAGGAGGCTCAGGCATCAAATAACAGAACACAAACAGTTTTAGAAGCAAATTAGTGAGTAGTTGCAGTTATCCCTGGCCACCTAATTTTAGTGGGCACAGGGGCTGTTCCACCATTTGAGCCCCATTTGCTACACCCCTTAACTTAATACCTCTAAATGTGGTATTGTGCAAAATTATTTTACTACAGAAAGTCAACTGCCTCTCTACTATTCCCATAAAAATGATCAATTATAACATTTATTTCTTCCGACCTCTTACTTTGTGCTCTTTATCCTTTGTTTTAATTTGTAAGTTAGTAACACAAATCAAACATTTATATTAAGGCCTCATTCACACACAACGCAAGCAAAATTGTACATATGCACGTATATATACGAGCGTCTATGCGCGTATATGCGTGCACTATATGCAATCCCAGAATGCATCACTAATGGAATTCTAATGTGCTGTACGCATGTATGAGCGTATACGTACGTACATACGCATATATGCGCGTAAACACGCGTATGTGCGCGTAAATACACAGAGATACGCTGCCCAGACGCATCTCTGTTCCATTCTGTTTTTGCGCATATATACGCTGCGCAAATATACGGCTCCATACGCGGCTGTGTGTATGGAGCCATTTATTTGCATATGTTGCATATGGTACAATACGTACGTACGCGCGTATACGCACGTATATGCGCGACAGTGTGAATGAGGCCTAAACATCCCATCACAGGGATGACATTCTTGGAGATATTCTTTGAGAAAAAAATCAGCTATGACAGCTCAGTATCTGCCTATCCTGACGGGTTCTTATAAGTATTCATTGAATCTGAAAGTAATCCAATATTAGCAGAGGAAAATGCAGTTGCACGTTTTGGTAAATTACCTTAAATACAGAGTTTTCAAATAATGGATTTAAAATTAGTAACATCATAGCAGAACATTACTAATCACAGGCATACATAGCCAAATTGAATTTTATTTTTCTAGTTGATCAAACATAAAATGATTAGCCTTCACAATGATGCAGCTTTATAATGTTAGAACTCTGTGTACAAGACATAAAACTTTGTTTTGGAAAGGTCATTATGTAACAAAAAAAAACGAATTTGTTTAAATTAACCTAATTTATAGTTAACTATTAGCACTTAGGGCACACACAAAGGGTCAATATAGATGACTGCTCTTCCAAAAGGCCACTGTAAATATTGGATTTCACTCTAACAGTTTGCTGTGAAATTCTGTGTATGTGCATGAAAAGAAGAGACTATTCTGTAAATTCCCCTAATGAATGTAGATATTGTTACCTGATCATTGCATATAACAAATAGTTCTGATTTGTGTTCATTTACTTTGATATGTTATTTTTTATATGCAGTTTAACATTACTGATCATAAACATTAGAAAATTATCTTATTGATTATTATATTGTTATTTTTTATATGCAGTTTAACAAACTGAATACATTATTTTCAGAAATGTATTTAATGCTGTATACTGCACCAAGAGTAAAAAATATGAGTCAGGCATTACTGATCATAAACCTTAGAAAATTATCCTATTGATTATTATATAAATGGCAAGCTATAGACTTAAAGAAAAACATTAAATAACTGTACCTGCGATAAACGTTGCACACTACATATAGATAAAAGCAGTAGGATTGCCAAAATGAATCATACATGGAGATCATTTTATTTATTATATATGTTATTTTATTTAGGATATACAAAGCAACCTAACAGTAACTAAAGAATCAATTAACTAAAATAAAAGTTAGGCACTGCTGCAAAACTATTCTGATTGTTAACCTCAATATGTAGTAGTATTTTTAAAAAACAAACGTATTTCTAAATAAATCATATTAGTCAGAGAAAATATAAGCACTTACTTTTCATACTTTGTTGTTGAAGTCTCAAATGATATAGTTCCTGCAGGTATCCTTAGCAAAAGAGAGAGAGATAGAGAGAGACTGGGTAGGGTGAGTAAGGGAATGCCTCCACTCACACACTACCTCAAGTTCTAACCTAAAAAGTAACGCTCTACCTCTTGTGCCTAGGGGCTCTGCTCTGAAGTGGTAGGTGGAACACTGTGTCTGTTCATTGGTTAACCTTCTCACATGCAGAACAAAATTTGAGTTATTCCGTTAACTATGTCTGTACATAGAACTGTGCGGTATATTGTTGGTATCAATACAATCACTGCAGATATGTAAACCTGCTTGAAGATTCAATGACTGCCTTAGCCATGGCATCCTGTATTTCTAAATCTACTTTATGGTTGTGTAGCTGCTTCAATAATTGACAACAATCCCTACCCTAGGCAAATCCATGGTCTGTATGAAGTCTAATAGTGTATTGCCTGCAATTAAAAGTGCAATTTATTTTTCATTTGACAACAGAAATGTTACATCCAAAGTTAAAAGAGCAAAGTAAGAAATACAATTTAAAGATATGGAGCACTGGATGGTTGGAATTATTCCAGTAGGCTGAAAAATGTTTG